GACTACCCCAAATACTACTTGTCTATTTCTGATCAGCTCCAAGCTTCAGCAGAATACAATAAGTGAAGAATAGTTGCTTTAAATGGATAGCCTCAGAATGACCCCTAATTCTGCCTTTTGCTTCCTCTCCCTTAATACTTGGATTAGTGCTTGGTTGTCTTTGGTACTTGACATTCAGGATTGGGCTGGGAGAGGTTATGCTTGAGACCTCATCTCAAATATCTCTACCTTAAGAGTAATTTAAGACTCTTCCTTTCTATGGTACCTATCCCAAGGGATAGACAAGTACAGAAGAGGCTGGAGCTAAAGATAGAGCCAGGCTAGGCCAGGACAGGAAAGTTTCTTTGTGGGTCAAATATTCTCTAACAGGCATATTCTCAACAGGCCCCTCTATGTGACAGTTCTCCTTCTGCTGGGCTGACCAGGGCACCAGGGCAGCATGGGCCAGCACCGGGAGGACGTCTCCCAGAATATGTGCCCTAAATTCTCTCATCTGGTGGTTTAGGATCTTGGACTATTTAATCCCAGACTGCTAATTAGATGGTCTATTCCAATGTGTGTGGGGGGGTAGTAACATAAAAAATAGCAGGGTGTCAATTTTATTTCACAAATTGAACAAATAAAATACTCATCTTTTGTTATTTCAGAAAAGGACACTTTAACACAAAAAATACGGAAGACTTATTCTCTTACTCTTAACATAAAGAATATATCCCAGTTCTTTACCAGAAAGTGAGTTTTAAACTTACACCAACATTATACAGATATACTAAAATGCGTGTGCGTGTGTGCGCACGCGTGTGTGTACGAGTGCACATCAATATGCATGCATGCGTGTCATCATCCTTCTTTGTTTTTCCTCATCACATGGCAGCCATAGAATAGTGATGGACTCTGGGGCCAGAATACCTGAGTTCAAATATAGGCTCTACCACTTACGATCTGAAGAACTTCAGATAAGTTACTTAACTTCTCTGTTCCCTGGGTTTATCATCTACTAAGTAAAGGTGATAGTAATAGTACACACTTTCCAGAGGGTTATGAAGATATAATGATTTAATATATGAAAATCACTTAGCACAGAGGAAACACCCAGTAAATGGTTGTTATTATATTATTTTGTTGCCATAGACCAGTAAAGTCTTAATAAATTATCTCTGGGAACCACTGACAGAACAACTCATTCCTCTTCCAGATGAGGAAAATGTGAAGTCTAGGACAGGCATAACTTCAACTAAGGTCCATAGCCAGTTATAGAACATAAGAGAAGTAGAATTCAAGTCTCTTGACCAAGACTGACATATCTCTGAGGTCTCCTAGAAACAAGTGAATTTGGCAAATGGCTACGGGGGGTGAGGCAGAAATTGGTGGGTTTCTGGCACCTGGAGGACGTGGGTAGGGAGCCTGAATTTAGCTGGGCACAATGGCCAAATTGGGTGCCACTGTGATCGGAAAGTCTAGTCACTGCAGTTCTCTTCTCTCTTCTCCTGCCTCTCACAACTCTGCCAGTGGTCCCGCCTCTGGATGCAGAGTCTGTTGATAGAGGTCCTGCCCTGCCACTCACCAGGGCTGGAATAATGCCTCAACCTTCTGACTCATTTTTTTGCTGCTGTGGTTTGGGGGCTATTCTCCATTTTCTAAGCAGATGCTGCCTTGGCGAGGGCCACCAGATCAAGTAGGGTTGCACTCCGTGGCTGCTTTTTGATTTTACATAGCAGGAAATCAGGCCGCCCAAGGCAGACTCTGTCAAGTCCCTCTGTTCCATTAACCTTCGCTCATAACTTTCTCACTCATGAATGCCTCCTGGTCACATGTTCCAGGCAGGAAGAAGAAAAAGGAAAATAACAAAAAGGAAGGGATGAGTCTATATGAAGAAACCCAGACTTTCCCATAAACCCTCCACCAGCTTCTGCAGATATCTCATTGGTCACATGGCTGCTCCTAACAGCAAGAGAGGCCGGGGAATGTTGTGTTGTGTCTGGGCAACAAATTGTGGTTTTATTAGGAAGGAAGGAGAGAATAGATATTGGGTAAAAAACTGTCTGCCAAGAAGTTGTAACCAGAATAAAATTAAGCCTTTTGCTTCCTCTTTCCTCCAAAGTCTCCTTCAGCAGGGTCACATTTAAAGGAAACATTAGTCCAGCTCCAGAAACTGGTACAGTCTGTACCAATTACTGACACCCCTGCCCACAAGCATCATCGCACAACACACATCACCCACACAACCTTTGCTACAAGTCTTTTTATACTTTCCTCTCATTAGCTACTCAGTCTCCCTTTCTCTTGCAAAACAAAATGACAAACAAAGCAAAATCAAGGCCAGCCCACAGAGCGAGCTGCTTGTCTCTTCACTCCCCCACTCCTCCCACCTCCTCTTCCATATCTCAGTGTTTTCCCTCTTGTGGAAATTAATTTGGTCTGTGGGCTTTTACAAGTCTAGGCCTCTACTCGTCACCACTATAAGCACAGCCAAGGCTGAAAACAAAAATTCTGGGAGAGCACATAAGGCCTGTAAGCTATCCTAAGCTATCCCCTGCTAGCCAGTTTATGAGTGAGCCTGTGTAAACCCCAGCTCTGCTTACACACACACAATGCCTGCAACACCTGTCAGGAGCTTCCCCATCTCCTGCCTCAGCCTCTTGCTCTCTTGGCTCTTAGTTTATTCTGAAATGTCTCTCCCTGCTTTGATGCCGATCCTACTAGTTACAGCCAAATGATTTCCATCTGCTCCTTCAAAGGCCCACTTAAGATCGACTCTGAGGAGGCTGCAATTAACCTCACCCGGCTCCAATCCAGCCTGTTCACTACTGCTCTGAGAGGTAAGCCCCTGGTTTGTACGATTTTTATTTCACTTGACATTCAACTCTTGGATCGCATGTCTGTTTTCTTTATATCTTTCCATTTCCCCCATTAGGCTGGTAACAACTTGAGGGTAGGGTTTGGACGTTATGCATTCTTTTTCTCTGATATGTCTTGGGCACCTTCATGTGTCAAGCACTGAGGGAGGAGCTGAGGATATAAGGCAGAACCAGCCCTGGCCTCCATCAGGACCAGCCTCTCCTGGTCCTTTTCCGGCCTTCAGGACAGGGCTCTGCCTGATCCAACAGGGTGACTGACCACTGTCTTGATGTAGATGAGGAAGGGGGTTGGGATTCAGCCCCAGAGATGAGCCCCATTACCATCTTCCTGGACTCCAAATTCAACGCACTTAAGCGGCTCCTCTAAAAAGGCCCCAGGCCTCCTCCCAGTACCCAGCATCCGGTGTTACTGTTGGCTCTGCCTGCCTGCCGCACAGCCAGGGACTGAAGGAGCTTTTATTTCAAATGAGGGCAGTCAGCTGAATTTCCAAGTCAAAGATTTTCCACTTCAATTTTTCCTGTCTTCTTTTTAGCCCAAATAACACGTTCATTTTCTGGAAAAGGAGACAGACAGATTCTGCTTCTAAGGGTTAAAAACTTTATTCAGAATACCTGGGTGTGATGGGTAGGTCTCATGCCAAAGCACTTCTTCTGCTGGGAGGGAAAGGATGAGGAAGCCACCGACAGGGCCCTCCATCCCCCAGGAAGACAGAGGAGTGACATCAAACCAGAGAGACCAAGCCTTTTCCCCTCTCTATCCCGTACTCCACCCCAATCTTTTTCCATTTCTTTTCGTTCTACCTTCTCTTTCTCTTTTCCTTCCATCTGTCTTCCTGTTCTCTTCTCTCCCTCTCCTTACTCTTCATTCATTCACTCATTCTGTCAGTCAGTCATTCTCTCAGGAGACGTTGCTTTAGCCCTTGCTAATGTGTTGGACATGGTGTTGCAAGTTAAGAATGCAGAGACAGAAGAATCAAGTCTCGAGGCTCTTACAGACTTGCATTTGTGGAGGGTGGGGCTCACAGATGACGGGCTGGGGTGAGTAGTGACATTTGGCAAAGAGAGCTAACTGGTAAGTCTCCAAGTACATTCAGAGGCTCAGGCAGTCTATCTAGAATGTGGGAAACCCTGGGTTCAGGGTGACAAGACTTAGACAACCTCTAGCAGGTACCTGGTGCAGCCTGGCTCATTAATACCTCCTGTCCCATCCTAGCAGAAGGCCCCTCAGTGAGAAAGAACATGGACTATGTGAACATGCTACCCCTATTCAAATCGCAGTTCTACACGTTCTGTGTAATCGTAATGAGTCACTTAATCTTATTATTATTATTATTTATTTATGACATAGACTTTTTTTTTAGAGCACTTTTAGGTTTACAGCAAAACTGAGCAGAAAGTACCAAGGGTTCCTTGTACATTCCTGCCCCCACATGCACAGCCTCCCCCACTATCAACATCCCCCTCCAGCGTGGTATACTTTTGACAGTCAATGAACCTCCTTTGACACAGCATCACTACGCAAAGTCCATACTTTACCTTCAGGTTTGCTCTTGGTGTTGTATGACCAATATATAAGACCTGTACCCACCATTATATTATCATGCAGAATAGTTTTATTGCCCTAAAAACCCTCTGTGCTCTGTTTTCACGTATCTTTTTATCCCCAATGTCTTCTTCTTCGAAATGAGAGAAATAACTGTCTCAAGGGTGATCATGAGGATACCATAAGATACTACACAGGAGTGCTTGCTTTAGGTGTGAGTTACTTATATGATATTTCCATGAAAAGCCAAGAGCCCTCCCACAGTGGTTTCTGACTATAGTGTATGCTACTGGAGAAAGGAGAGAACCAGGTGGGGAGGGGTGAACTTTCTCTGAAGCCCCAAGACACATGCTGCCTCAGCGGGTTTGGTGATAGGCTTTGAGGGTAGCCTCCTTGGGAGGAGAACACGGAGACCCACGGGATTCCAGGGGACACTGGATGGTTCCCTGCTCCTGAAGTAACTCATCCAGCTTTATCCAGGCAGTCCTCTGGTTGCTCTTGGCAGGGGCTCAGAGAGCCTGCATGAGTCACCTCCACGTGGCTGCTGTGGGAGGAAGCGGGTAGAGAGGCGAGAGGGAGGGACAGAGAGGGCTCATATCCAGGCTGAGCCACGCTGGCTTGGAGAAATTGTTCCTGAAAGTCCCTGGCAAGAAGTGGACTGCTGTGGGCTGTTAACCTGCCATGCAAATCGACAAGTAAACAGTCTCCAATGAGAATCCCAGAAGCCCAGTTCATTCCAGAGACCCAGACACTTACTTGGGACTCCAGGTAGGGACCAGCCCATGCACAACCTGAGGCAGGGGTGCTGATTTCTTGCCCCTCCAATATCCAGGCAGGGATCTTGCCCAGGAGACCTCAGTCTCCTGCACCCAGACAGGTAGTATCCACACAGACAGGGCAGTACAGATGGCACAAATGTATCACCCTTTGTTCAGATGGGAAAAATCACCCTGGGGTCTGCTTGGGCTGTCTAGACAGAGCAAATGAGCTGGGCCATGGTGCTAGAGACATGTGTGAGCCATGTGGTAGGCTTAGGTGAGAAACCCCTAGTTTCCACCTCATGGGTCTGTCACCAGGCAGGGCATAACTCTGTGTGGGGGGATGCCAGGTGCTTGCTGTATATATACTTGGAATTTATTGGCCTGCAGTGAAGAGGGGCGGAGTATGAGAGGATGGAATGGAACACATCTGGTGGCCTGATTTTTTTTGTTTTTCTGCTCTTGGTGAAGGGCCTCGGCTGTGCTTGGGGCTGGAAGAGAAAGTCAGGGAAATGGGGCAGGGGCAGGAGAAGGGAAGATGGGGGCAGGGAGTACATGTTATTTGGCTGGGCTCAGAGGGAGAGAGCCTGTTTGATCCTGAGAAAACCTCTACACCTCATGGAGTAGGAAGGGCTCACAGTCCCCATGTGAAGACTGAATGAGGAAGAGAAGTATGATCACATGGACATTTAGCAGCAATTCCAACAGATATAACATGCAAACATACCTATACATAAATCCAAAAGCAGCACATAAACACACACACCTTCAGGTACAGTTGCAAACACAACCATCGGCTATACAAAGAAAGCTTACTTACACACATGCTGCCACTGAAAAACACAATGTTCATCGAGACTGGAGGGAGTCATGCTGAATATCAAGACCAATGTGCTTGAACCATCATCACCCCCTGGGTGTTGCAAAATCTAATGCCTATCTCAAGTTTTCTGCAAACTTCCAGAGACCACACCTGTCTTTGATGAATCATTCACCCAGGGTCCTCCAGTCACTCCTCATTATCATCCTGTCCCACACCTCCTCCACGCAGATGGAGAATGTGGCAAAAAGACTCACAAGGCTTTTGTGATGTGGCAAACTTGGTAAGATTTGGAGAAATGAAGAGATTTACATTGTAGCAATGCAAACAACTTAACAGACATTTCTGTTCTTATTTTAAAAATCCATAGGTCATTTTCACAACTCCAGATCCAGACTCTCTCCATGTTATTCGGCCAATCCCCTTTCCCTCTTCTCTGTTATCTTCTCAGGACAAAATCCAAATTCCTCTTATTTTCTTATGTGGAGAAATTCAGCTCTCTCCAACCTCTGTCTCCAAATTTGGCTCCTAAACTTCCTTAGCATAGCCCCAAATTCACTGGAAACCAGAAAATAGCCACTGGAGCTTGCTGATTAAGCTCGTGAAACAGAGGCCTTCCCCATCTTCCTCTATAGGGGGTAGTTTATATTTTCCTAGTTAAACATAATTACACACATAAACACTTAGACACAAAAACAAAGAACTCTCTATACACTTCCCCAAATAGGTTAGGCAGAGAATGAACTCATCTAGGCCATGCTCAGGCCAGCAAGCTAAATTCAAAATCAGTGACTCTATCCCATTCCCCACTTCTATTATTTCCAGGGCTCTTCTCACCATGGACTTATCAATTTATGAAGTCAACATCATTGAGAGCTTGCTATATACCAAGCAGTCTACTTGGGATACAAAGATGGAAAAAAAAAAAAAAAAGCCACACAACTCAAGGAGCTCAAATTGTAGATGGAGTGGCAGATAAGTAAACATGTAATCGTAATATAAGTAGAGTAAGCTTGTGATAGGAAAGTAAAATTCACTACTGGAACACGAAGGAAGGGTAACTTTTAAAAAAGTTTTTATTAAAAATATCTAACACAGAATATTATATTAGTTTCAAGTGTACACATATTTATTCAACATTTATATACCTAAAGAAGTGATTACCATGATAAGTCCAGCAACCATTTGACACTGAAGTGTACACATATTTATTCAACATTTATATACCTATAGAAGTGATTACCACGATAAGCCCAGCAACCATTTGACACTTTATACTATCACAATATTATTGAACATATTCCCTGTGCTATACACAATATCCCCATGACTTATTTGCTTTATACATGGAAATTTGATCCTCTTATTCCCCTTCACCCTCCTCCTACCATTTTTTAATTTTTTAATTAGAGTTGACATTCAATATTATTTAATGTTAGTTTCAGGTGTGCAGCATAGTGGTTAGACATTTATATAATTTATGAAGTGATCCCCTGACTAATACCCACCTGGCACTTTACATAGTCATTACCATATTATTGACTATATTTCCTATGCTTTAGAAGAAGGGCAATTTAATCAGTTTGGCAGTGGAGGTGTGAGAAGGTGTACAGGATGAACAGAAGTTCATCACTTAAAGAAGAGGGGGTGTCACTGGGGGCCAAACCAAGCTATCATCCATTTATTTGTTCACTTAATTTTTAGTACTGTGCTAAGCAGTGAACAGACAGACTTTACTTAGTAATGAAAACTGTAGACTTGAACAAATATGTGAGTATTCTGGAAGGGAAGTTGAGTCAAGTAAACCTCTCTAACAAGGGTGACGTCTAGGCTGAGACCTAAAAGAAGAATAAGAGTTAACTAAAGGAAAGAGAGTGGGAATGTGTTCAGGCAGAGGAGTGAGCATGCTTGAACCTAAAGGCAAGAAAGAGTTTGATGCTTATGAAAAACAGCGAGGAGTCTGGCATCATTAGTGCTAAGAGACATGGAAGAGAGTGGAATAAAATGAAGCTAGAGAAGGAGGCAGGGTCCAGGCATATTAGAGATTCCCCCAACACACTTCCTCCTGATTCAATACAGTGCAGAGTTAGAGGGAACTCTAACAAAGCAGAGCCTAGAGTCCAACACTGTGAGATTAAAGAGCTTTGGCATGAAGGCTGATTCTGACCAGTGTGTGGCTGAGTCTGGGAGCCCCTATGTATCCAGTCACCTTGACATGGAACATATAGTCTAGAAAGAGTAAAAGAGTAAGCCAATAGAGCTGTAACTTTGGGTCTACTCTAGCTAAGTGTCACATGAGTACATGGGATTCTCTTCCCTTAAAGACTCACCACCATGGCTGGTGCAGAGATCAATAGAGATGTCATGCAGCATCAGTTGGGGATGCATTAGTCAAATGTGACCAGCTACGAATGAGAGACCATGCAATAGTCAATAGTGGCCAAAGAAAGAACCTGGCAGTAGTCTGGCAAATCTTCAAGTTCTCCCTTCTTTTGAATGAATTTGAATGAAGATCGACTCCTTTGGACTGAGCACCACTGTAGTCCTTAGGCCCAGAAGGGATACAGATTGGAGCTTGAGTGGTTAGTGTGAATAATAAAAAGAGGCAGGTCCTTATTTTTATTTCAAGTTGGTGATGTTGGTCATGCAAATTACACTAAGATAAAGGATGGGAAGCCATCGAAAGCATTAAGTAAGAAAATGACAACATCAGAATAATGTTTGTAAAAAATTACTTTGAATACTGTGCAGGGCATGGATTGAAGGAGAGAAAGAGAACAAAGCCAGAGAGACTAATTAGGTTTTATTAGTTAGGAATGCTTTCAGCTCCAAGTAAGAGAATACCCGATATAATTTAAACCTGTAATGATATTTATGGTTTACTAACAGGAAATCAGGACATAAGGCATCCTCAGGGATGGCTAGGCAGCTCAATGATATTCCCGAAGACTCAGGCTTCTTCTGTCCTTCCACTCCACCATCCTCCATGTGTTGGCTTTTTATTCTCTTGCTTTTCCCCTCATGGTTGCAAGATGACTGCTTTACCTCCAAACAGCAATCTTATTTAAAGCAGAAATAAGGAGGAAGGAACACTGCCAGCCACCACTTATTCCCCTTCTCAGATGAGCAAAGCTTTCCCAGAAGCCCATCATAGATGTCTCTTTATATCTCATTGGTAAGAAGTGGATCATATTGCCCCTCTAACCACAAGCAAGGCTACAAAATCGAGTGTCAGTATTGTTCACTATGATTCACTACCTGGAGCTAGACATGTTGCTGCCTGGGGCAAAACTGGGATTCTGATAGTCAGGTAAAAAGAGAAATGACTGTCAAGTAGGAAATAAACAGTGATAGTCACAGAGGCAAGAGAAGATGGCCTCAACTAAGATGGTGGCATTGGAGACAGATATTTAAGAGATGGAAGTTACAGAACTTAGTGATGGGAAGTAGAAAATGAAGGAGAGGAAAGAGAAAAGAATGGTTTCAGTGTTTCTAGCTTGGGCAGCCAACAGATTATGATGTCATCTACTAAGACAGAAAACATGAGAATGTGAGGAATAAACACAGATGTAGGGAAGATGAAGTGTTTGCTTATAGACCATTTGAATTTGAGGTGTCTGCATATATCTAAGTATTAATATTATACAAGCAAGTGGATACATCACTCCAAAGCTGAGGAAGAAGGTCAGAGCCATAGATATGGACTTGAAAATCATTAGAAGCCATGGGAGTGGATGAGTTTATTAGAGAGGATGCTTTGGATTGCACAGAAATATAACACAAACAAAGTTAAGGAGAGAAAAAAGATTTTTGGCTCACACAGCAGGAGATGCATAGATGGGGCTAGATTTTGGCCCAAGAGCATCTGGTACTTAAATTTGGAGGTTGGGTTTTTCTCTCTTCCCCACCCCCAGCTCTCACTTAAAAAAAAATATTTTATAACAAACTATTCCTCTGTATATTATTTCCTTATATTCTCATGATTATCCTTTTGAACTTTAAAGAGGAAAAAATCAAAACCTGAAAGATTAAGGTGCCTGTCCTCACTCAAGAGAGGAACAGACTTGGATTTGCCATCTGCAAGAGTCATGAATCTTCAAATCAGGGCTCCTGGACCTCTAGCTGTGGGCAGAAAGGGCCCTTCAATGAAGCTGTAAGTTGTTTCTTTCTTACTGTCATGTAAACCAACATGACTGATGATTATCTCTTGCAGCAATTCACTGAAGCTCAGCAAGAACTGACCAACACAATTTAATATTTTGACCTTTTTATTTTATTTTTTTACCAAGGTCCCTAAATCACCACCTCCAGAGCTGTTTGATTTTTTTCACATGGGAATGATATGAGCATGTATAAATAATGAATAAGATCCAGGAGGGTAGAAAAGATTGAAGACGCAGAAAATGAGCGTGCAAAGGTAGTAGGGCATGGGACCCATAGCACTAGTGGAAAGACTGGCCTCATAAGTTGCCTTCCATTGGAATAGGAAGGTTAGGAGGAGAGGATGGGTAAGGATGCAGGGAGAATTGTGCATATATATGTTGGCTTACTCTGCCCTATTTCAATCTCCTTTTATATTACCTCCTCTGTTATAGAGGCTGGAAAAGAAAACGCTTAAATTTCTAGCATCCTTTGCAGCTAGAGGTGTTCATGAGATGAGTTCTAGTCAATAGAAGTAGGAAAAATCCCAGAGGAGATCCTCCCTTTCTGAATAAGAGGGAAAACCCTGTCTAGCAGTAGGCTTTTCCCTTCCCTCCGTTTTCTGGTAGATTTTTCTCTACCAGACCGCATTTACCAAACAATTCATATTCTGAGAATACTGTCTAGCAGTGGGCTTTTCCCTTCTCTCTTCTTCTTGCCTGGACATTGACTTTGATACTTGGAGCTCCTGCAATCATGAGGAGAAAGTCCACACTCTAAGGATGATGGAACAGGAAGATAGTACGAGTCTGGTACCTTAATGACCTCCCTGAGCAGCTGTACCTGCCTTATGCTGTCTATCTCTATACTTCTTGTTGCATTGAAAGGTAAGAAGGAAAAGAAAAGAAGGAAGGGAAGGGAAGGGAAGGGAAGGGAAGGGAAGGGAAGGGAAGGGACTTTCTTAGTTAACCCACTGTCTGTCAGGTTTGTTACTCATAACTAAACATGAACCTGGTTTGCGTATGCTCTGGGCCCTCTGGCATGTCTCTTTTTCTTTATAGGTGCAACCCCCCCCGGTAGCTGTGGACGTATTGATGGCAGGAAATGCTGAGGCTCAGTGGGGCACCTCAGAAAACATGTGGGTATCAGGCTCCTGTAGAAGTAAAACAGGAGAGCAGAAGGTATTGGATGAGCAGACGCAGAGGAGCCTATCTTTGGGAAGGAGTAGTGAAGACAAGAGAGAACGTAGAGACACATTATATAACAGAAAAAGTCGACAGGGGTCAGTTGATCTGGTCCTAGCCCTGGGCCTGCCACTAACCAGCTGTATCATGTCCCTGGGCTTCAGTCTACAGAATGAAGGATTTGAGCTGGATCAGTGGTTCCCAACTTTATAACCATCAAAAAGGAGGACCCTGTATTTTTTGAAAGATTTTTCTCTACCAGACTGCATTTACCAAACAATTCATATTCTGAGAATACTGTGTTGATGTAATTCCAGCCCAAAGCAAAGAAAACCTTTTGATTTAGCTTAATTAATCTTACCATAGGATGAAATTTTCATTAGTTTTTTGGAAAAATTGAAAATGTCTCTCAGGTCCATACAATTATCTTTGAGGACATGTGGTGACCTAGCGATCTTGAGCACGGGCCCAGGAGAGGGCTGAGGCCCAGTTCTGTCTCCCATGATGCAGATCCCTGTGTTCCTAGCAGCCAGTGGAGGCACATTTTCCATCCTGCTGCCAGCCCTGGTTCTGACTTCTAGTGACAAGGGCTACTTCATTTCCTTTATAAAAAACAAGCCTGTCCAAATGGCACGTTCCCGCTGGTGGGAGGGCACATCTTTTGCCCTGCATGCCTGCCAGTCCTCCTCAAAGGCAGCCTTCTTCCACCCCACCCCACCTCCCTCCTCACCCTAGGAGGAAGCCATCTCACCCAAATTTTCATCCCATTTACCTTACGCTGTGATCTGTTCACCTGAGAGACCTGAAGACCCTCTCAGCTGGTCTGAAGAACAAGCCCTGACCCCTGCCCTCAGGTATCTCCATCTGCTGTTGAAGAGAGAAGGGCAGAGATCCCCAACTCAGCTGTAATGGAACATTCAATATGCTGTTGGAACACTGAATGGTCACTTCTGCTTGGAACAGTAAAATCAGGAAGAGGCGAAGGAGGAGGTGAAATTTGAGCTGGATCAGAGGCTGACGGGAGGGCCTGGAGGCTGACGGGAGAACCAGGGCAACATTTGAAGACCAGTGCCCCACAAGAAGGTTGGCTGGGATGGGGAAAGGCAGGGCTTCATTCTGATTAGCAATTCATTTGCCTGACAACTTTATTTAAGCCCTTCCTCCCTCCTTTTCTCCCACAAATATTTATCAAGTATATTTTTTTGTGCCAGGTATCCTGTTAGGTGGCAGAAACAAATATGAATAAGGCATGCCCTGTCATGATGGAGCTCACAGATTAATGAGGACACAAGCACACAGAACTTCTAGCTCCTGGTCCTGCAACAGGGGGTAGTACCTTCAAGGAGACATACCCTAGACTCCAGACCAGCATCTGACTATGCCCCCTGATGATAGCAGGCAGCATTCTACCAAAGAACTCTCAACAAGTCTTGGCCCTAAGCCCCTCTTACAGTCTGGTGTTTGCCTCCCTTGATTGAAGAGATAGATACCCTGTGTCATCTCTGTCTGCTCTTAAAGCTGTAGAATATTCCTGCTTAAAGGCCAGAGACTGAACCAGATGACTTCTCCTGCTCCATGAGTCTGTAATGGGGAGAGGGGCTCTAAGGAAGCCTCTGAACCTGCTGTATTGGGTGCAGTCTTGAGGGACAGATAGGAGAAGACCTTTAGAGCAAGGTGACATCAGTTCCAATCCTGCTCCTTAAAAGAGGGGGATAGGATAGTTGTCCCTATGACTCATTGCCCTGAAGGAGTTCAGGCCTGGACAGAGGATGGGGGACACATTCAAAGGATTTGGAAGTTAATGGAGAGGCCCATTGTGAACCAACACAAAATAATCCTTGGTGGTGCTACAGTCTTGGTAGATCCTGAAGCAGAGAGGCCAATGCAATGAATTCTGCCCAGCAATGCTCACTGAACATCTCCCAAGGCCAGTGCTACTGTGGAGATTCCCAGGGAGAGGAAGATTTATTCCTTGCCCCTTCAAGTGTCCCTTAAAGTTGCTGAGACTTTATGTTTAAGTGGAGATGTTATGTTTAGAGTAAGAAAACTGCCCTGGGAGAAGCACAGAGGGCCGAGTGAGCTCAGAGATAGAGAAGATCCCACTGTCAGGGTGGTTAAAATGGAGAGAGCAGCTTCAAGATGAGACTCACATCAGTTAGGACTGCCTTGGGCTGTAAGGGAACAGAAGCCTGAGTGCTGAGGTTTAACAAATAGGGCTTTGTATTTCTCATGTAACATGAAGTGTAGAGGGAGGCCAGTACAGGTGTCGAAGCTGCCATCAAGGACCCAGGCCCTTTTGTCTTCTGGGCCAGCATCCTTAACATGTCTCCTTCATGGGTTGCAAGTTGACTCCTCCACCCCTGACATCACATCATAGACTTTCCAGAGAGCAAGAAGGAGAAAAGCGTAAGACACATGCTAGCTCTTCCTCCCCCTTTTTTATTAAAAAAAAAAAAAAAGTTTATCTCACTGGCCAGACTGTGTCATATCATTACCCCTAGTAACAAGGGAGCCTGAAAAGTCAATATTTTTAGGAGGGCACATTGATCTCCTTCCCCCAAACAACATTGATGTGCTATAAATGAGGTGGACAGCAGGGCAGATCAAAGTTTGCAATGAGCAGTACCTGTCAGGGCCCTAAAGAAGCTGTAGAAGCTGTCTGAATAAAGTGTGAAAGGACTTCTAGGTAGAGGAAACCGCAGGAGCAAAAGCCCTGGGTGGGGATGTGCCAGGAGTACTTGGGAAATTGCCAACAGTCCAGTTCAGCTGGAGCATAGAGTGTGACTAGGAGCAGTTGGCATTTCCAGGTTTGTGGAATCACCCTCCAGCTCAGACACACACTCTGCACGCAGCAGATTAGGCATGGGGGGAGCAACAGCAGACAAGGAGCAACAGCTGAAAAAGTCAAGGTCGGCTGCAACCTGAGACAATGATTGAAGTTCCGAGAAAAGCAGATGATGACAAATCTTCTGACCACCTGGAATTACCAGCCACAAGCAAAGGGCTGCTGGGCTGGACCCACAGACACTCTCAAGCAAAGCAGACCCCCAGATACACTAGAGCCTCTCATTGCTCCCTGAATAAACCAGGGAATTAGGTACCTGCATCTGCCTCTTGCCTGAGGTCCATTTATTGTTGCTCTTCCTTCCCCACCTCTCCTAGTGTCAGCCTGTCCAGGCTGCAGTGAGAACACTGTCAGGCAGTGCAGAGGCGTGAGGGTGGAGGGTGCTGATTCCAGCTCTAGGGTGCAGGACAGGCATTCACTACACTCTTCCTGAAGTTCTTCAGACACACCTATAACTGGGATGGGGTGGGGGAGTTGTATGGATGCAACCACTTTTTGCTGCTGTGCCTTGCCAGAGACAACTGTCTTTTTTGACTGGAAGGTACTTCAGAGTCTCACCTTCCTCTTGTTACCAGCGAGACTCTTTCCTTCTGCTGACCTCCGACAAGGCAGAGAGCAGGGGGCCACCGTCCCACTCAAAGCTTTGCCATTATGTTTCTCATGTCCCCTCTGCTTCCCCTTCCTTCCTGGGTCTTCTGCCCTCTGGTTCTTCTGCATTACTTTCTGAGGACCCTCTTCAGTTTCCCACATTTTATTGAAGGTGGGTTAGGGTGGGGTAGGGATATTGTTTAAGTTCTGGGGAGTAAGTTCCGGTCCACTTTTTATTAGGATTCATTCTACAGTTCTTCAGTTTCCAGAAGAGTTGCATCCCTCCAATCCACGGATACTGGACTCTAACGCAGATG